GAAATGGGTAGCTTTATCATTTCACAAGAAAAAAAATAGAGAAAATATATTAATTTAGGAAAACTTGGCTTATTAGGCAAATCGGGCCTTGCATAGTAGGCCGAAAAGTGCATTCTGGCTACTAGGTACGACATATATATATATATATATATATATATATATATATATATATATATATATATATATATATATATATATATATATATATATATATATATATATATATATATATATTCGCAGGACATAATTGATCATAATCATGTACATAATTGCTGGTGTTGCAATTCTTAAACATAATTGTGGTAATTACATATAAAAGACAATAATTACAGCAATCTTGAAGCTGTTTATATTCTCGTTAATCCCATAACTTTGGTTAACAAGTCAACCATAGGCCGAGGGGTCCAGTGTTGTTAGTTTTGGCATGATAAATGTAAAGATATTCTCAAGGGAGGGACGACTCGTGTCTCAAGGGGCCCTCTGGGTCTTCGATGAGACGCTCGCAGGGCCGGCCAAGATTCGGCCAAGACTCCTGGTGGACCAAGATTCACCCACACCCACTTTCTTGCCCTGTGGACCAGCAGGAGCTGTTTCGTGAACCTTTAGGAGTGCCTCCAACACACACACACACACACACACACACACACACACACACACACACACACACACACACACACACACACACACACACACACACACACACACACGAGAACCTCAAAAGCCATGTCTATAAACATGCACTTTAGCTATAAAGAAAGTGAACCCCTTTTCTGAAACTTCATAGTAATGTAAGGAAGTGCGCAGTTACTGAACCATCATATTAGAACATTCACTTCACTAATAATAATATATATAATATACCATTTACTCGTGATGGCTAAGGAGAATGAGTAGTGAGGAAATGGAATCTATTGTAATCCATATTCTGCTTCATATCTCTAGACATTCGTAGCATCTGTATGAGACAATATCGTATAATGATCTAATATCCATATCACAGTGATCACTATTTCCTCCTGATGTGAATCATGTAAGAGTATGATTTTAAATGTAGATTATATGATTATTATTATATCTTTGAATCTATCATGTATGATGTGTCATAGTCTCTTTTATACTGTTTGTCTCTGCCTCCCCCAGCACCACCTGCATCTCCCTCCCCCAGCACCACCTGCATCTCCCTCCCCCAGCACCACCTGCATCTCCCTCCCCCAGCACCACCTGCATATCCCTCCCCCAGCACCACCTGCATCTCCCTCCCCCAGCACCACCTGCATATCCCTCCCCCAGCACCACCTGCATCTCCCTCCCCCAGCACCACCTGCATATCCCTCCCCCAGCACCACCTGCATCTCCCTCCCCCAGCACCACCTGCAATTTCCTTGCTCGAAATATTTAACCATGTCCACACTAACATGTTACTGTAATAGATGCAAAAGTAATCAAATGTATTTGTTTTGTTCAACTTGTGTGCGAAGAAGGTTCGTGTGTTAGCAACCAGATATTTGGATTAGTCAAGGATAGAATTTTTTATCCGTTGTTTTTTCCTGGATAAATGGCAGACCAAACCGGTGCTAAACTCTGATGAAGTGACAGTGACCCGCGGGCTCTCATTGCCTCTTAACAGTTAATGCCACAAATGAATGTAAAAACCTCTTTGTAAGGGAATATGGAGTGGTCAGTGTGGTGGGAAACACACTTATATCCTCCTCGATCCTTATAGTTCCTTCCTTCAAGGGGTTCCGCTGATTATCGTCCTTATAGTTGATGACCAGCATGACTCTTGGTGCTTGCAGCTAGCGAGACTGCAAGCCAACATGTGACACGTCTGGTCTGTGTCATCAGCGACCATCGTGTCAACAGGAATATGTTGGGTGTCTAGCGTGGTTTCCTGGGTAACTGTACAGCTATGTTGGGGCTTGTGTAGGGGGGTGGGGGTTCATCCACACGTTGTGGGGTGGGTGTTCATCCACACACAAACACTGGGAACAAGTGTGGAGTAATAACCAGTGGTCGTGTCAAGATGACATCCTTCGAGTAGACTGATTTCTTACCCCCTTTCACGAGGGGTCCCTGGGATGGGTTGCCCTCTGTCATGACCTGGTGTTCCCTTAGTGCGAGTGTTCCGGACTGGAACATCTATGTATCTTAGTGTATTATATAGAAATGTCAATACCAAAAGCTGAATTATGTCACATTTACCATTGAGGATGTAAGCTTTCCTGACGCCAGAGGAAAGCGATAGGTCATTGTAATGCATCGAGAATGATTAATATCAGAATCATCAGTTTCGTATTTTTGCCATAATTGGGACAAACCTGATTTCTGTTTCCACGTCTAATGGGTATCATGTGGAGTTTATTCAGGGCTTCCTACGATACATAATATTTGCGAGGTTCAGTGAAGGAACAAGCTGCATACAGATGCCAGGTACACTGTCAGCTTATGGTCGGGGAGGTTGATACATACTAGTGGCGTCTGGCTAACCCTCCCATATAGACCTATACAAGACCTCCTATTTAACTCAACCCGTACTCGCACTTTCGTATAGTCAATATTGACTTATTAAATACGTGCATATGTGACATACTAAACATACTAGTTTACCTTGAAAAGCTTCATAGAAAACACCGACCTTACCTAACCTTCTTAGTATGTTAAGCATCTTATTGCTTCGTAATTACAATTATTACTTAACCTATACCTATAATAGGTTAAGTAATAATTAATACGTGCACATATGCACGTATTTAATAAGTCAATATTGACCGTAAGAATGTGCGAGAACGGGTTGATTTAACTGAACTCTGCTGTAGACCAGAGCGCATGTGTTGATTATTGACCTAAATGATGTCCTGTAGATTCCAGTGACAGCTTGGTGATACCTCACATGCAAGACCTTGTTAGTTAGACCTCTGTTGTACACCGGCGTCCTCACGCTGACTTCACATAATGTAAATATGCTTTAACCTTTGGTAACTTTAGCGAGGAGACGCGGGAACTTTCTTTCGTCTCCTTAGCTTTTAATACGTTCTCGTTAGTGCTTTGCCTCTTGAATTTGCTTGTTTATTGCTCCTGTGTCGTCACGATTGAGGAGTGCCAGTGTCGTGGCACTATGAGGGGGGGGGGGTAGTCACCGCCACACGGGGAGGGGGGGCGTTACCCCCTCTATATCATAACTGTACATAATGTAGCCAAATATATATATATCCTGTGGCGGTGATCTCGCATGTTTTATCAATTCAACTCAAATGTATTTTTTCTGATAAAGCTAATATTATTAAAATAAAATAAGCGTGAATGTTTTATTGTTTGGCTTATCCTAAATGACATTTTTTTTTAATTATAAAAAATGTGGTTTTGATATTGTTTTAGTTTTGACAGTTTGAACTGTAACTCACTATTGCCATTAAAGATGAGAACTAGCTGGTATTGGATTTATATCACAAGGTAATAATTGCTGTTGTCGGTGACAGGAAGCCTTTATATGATACATTATGCCGGGGGACAGGTAGCCAGTGTACATATACATATTAAGCTTATATCGAGGTCCCCCTCCCAGTGTGACCTCCCTTCCCCGAATATATATATATATATATATATATATATATATATATATATATATATATATATATATATATATATATATATATATGCGAACAAGCCTGAATGGCTTGTAACACACCGTAACTGTAGTTACCAGTTGCGTTGCTCCTGGGAGTATGGGTTCGAGTCACTTCTGGGGTGTGAGTTTTCATTCATATTCATATATATATATATATATATATATATATATATATATATATATATATATATATATATATATATATATATATATATATATATATATATATATATATATATATATATATATATATATATATATATATATATATATATATATATATATATATAAATATTATATAGCTAACTCCCTGGTACCTTTTTTTACTGCTAGGTGAACAGAGGCATTAGGTGAAATGAAATGAGAGTTTAGGTCAACCAGGCTGCGAGCAGCCGCGTTCAACAGCCTGATTGACCAGTCCAGCAACGAGGAGGCCTGGTCGACGACCGGGCCGTGGGGACGCTAAGCACCGACCCCATCTCAAGGTAAGGTAACCTCAAGGTAAGCTAAATCGGATTATATTTTACTTTAGTTCTCCAATTAAAACCACTTTATTTAAGTTTTCTGTGATTATTGAAAGAAAATGAAACGGCTTTTGATTCTATGTAGGACTTGCTCAAACTTTCCGCATATATACTATATATGTGGATATATACTGAGGTATATACTGTCATTATTGTGCAGATCCTCACAATTAGATACTGAAGGTAGATCATTATTGTGAATTTGATTAAGTTAATATTATGTCAGCTGAAAAATATAGAAGAAAACAAAAAAATATATAAGAAATTCGTAACAAATTTATTGATAACATCAGGAAGTGGTAAGCTACATAGAGCATATCTTGAAGCATATACGAAGGGGAAACAAAATTATGTTGGTTTTCATTCTTATTAGCTGTTGTTGCTTAATGTATGGTCAAGAATTTATATTTAATGTTATGTTGACATATTAGTTAAACCTCCTTAAGCTGTTTTTAATTAAATGGAGTTTGTGCACGTGTTTAAATTCACCATCTGCACCAGTCTGTGTTTGTAAATAGCCCCTGGTCCCATCCCCTCCCAATCTCTCGTTTACCATTATATTATAATGACTACCAACAAACTTAGGCTACATAGTGGCAAATAAAATAAAATTTGTTTCCTTCGAATATGAATTTTGCATCATAAGTTCACATACTTTTTTACATATTAGAATTAGTTAAGTATTGTTGTTATACCAAGAATACTTTTGAAGCCATTTGACTATAGCGTTAGCTTCTAATTAATTGAACTTGTTTATTCTGCTTTACTGTGTCTGTATACTTCTATGCCTATACGATGAGTGTAGATGCTGGTGCTACTTGTAAATTTGTATGAAGATATGCATGTATATGTATTATACGTACACTAGTCGTATTCGTACGTTTCATCTTTTATTATAATTCATACAGACCACATTCAGACTCCTGCACCAAAGACCGAGCCGTCATATATAAGGTTCTCTGGTTCTCCCAACATAATCATTAACCCTTTCACTGCTCCAGTTGCCATATCCCATTTCCCCCCATTTCATTTAACTTTTTAATCATGAACACCTCGACGTAGAACTCCTCAAGAGCTGCGCAGTTTAAGGGTTAAAGCAAATACAACTAACAAATGAAAGAAAAAACAAATGCTAAAAGTCTTTAAAATTAATATCTGAATAAAATACATTATAAAATATATAACTTTTCATAGAAAAATAGTATGCCTATGTACAAATTAATAACAATATATGCTTGACCGTCTAACACAAACTATGTAAGCTAACATTTAACTAAACAGCTTGAAAGGCTGTTATTTGCAAGCCTTCAGATAATTCCTTCTCTTGTTTTTATTTACATAAAGTATAACTTGATCATATGTAACAAAAGCTCATCTCTTCTTAACAGAGAGATGAGCTGTACAGGAAATAACAGTAATTTACAACAGAGCAATGGGACTAGATTACCTCAGAGACCTTCTCTTGTGATCTAGGCCTCTAGGGGCTGTAATGACACGGGCCATTCCAACATGGTCTACCGACACGGGCCGCTCCAACATGGTCTACCGACACGGGCCGCTCCAACACGGGCCACTCCAACATGGTCTACCGACACGGGCCGCTCCAACACGGGCCACTCCAACATGGTCTACCGACACGGGCCGCTCCAACACGGGCCACTCCAACATGGTCTACCGACACGGGCCGCTCCAACACGGGCCACTCCAACATGGTCTACCGACACGGGCCGCTCCAACAATAACAAACCTTATGGACCGTATTAAACTATGAGGAACACTCGGACATGTGTCCTATGAACACTGCTAGACTTCTTGGGGTTAGCATTGTACAAAATATTCATACAGTAACGAGGGGAGAAGCCTCATTAAACTTACGATACAAAATCTTAACATATTGTGTATCCAAAAGCCATGTTTTATCCAATATTAATTGGTTTGGTGTATTAATTTGGTGGCAATTATTTGTATTTGCATTACACAGGTGAAGCATTTAAACAGGTGTGGTTCGAACACAAGGCAGCAAAATAATAATCGGAAACCGTTCGAACTAAATCAGTTGCGAGTCGTGTCTACGGTGCTTTTATTTCATAAACAGGTGTTTGGCTTGTTGGATTAACAAGTTTTCGGCTATTGTTTATGACGGGCTCGTGGCACGGTAGTTACCTGCTCGCTCCACACCTGGCCGGTCATTTGATCGGGAATCTAGCCCCGAATAGGGAGGGTCGACTGCTCGCCCAGCTGTACTTACGAAGAAAAAGCTCTCAGTCTGCTAGCAGGAGTCATAAATCATCTACTCCTGTACCCATTTGGTGTCAAAAAACAATCGCGTCCTTATCGCTGGACTCAACACCTTCCAGACAAGGTGAGTCGTTGAGCAGTTAAACTATGTGAGCTGAATAGCGCGCAGGACGGTGAGGATACCACCTGACTTTACCAATATGATAAGCTTCATAGCGCACCTTTACCTCAGGATGTCTGAGAACTTATGACATACAACTGAGCATCATCAGTGCACATAGCGGCTGTGGGCCTGACATGATGTTGGGTTTCAATCCTAACAACTGGGAGAGTCGTTAAGGGCTCCACAAGCTCACTGAACAGCCTGTAAATGAAGTAATGTATAGTCCTGAATAAAGTTCAGGACTTCAGTAGTTCAGTAGTTCAAGTTCAGTAGTTTTAGTGTGGATTCACTGAGAAGTGAGGTGCATTACTTTGGTCTGGTGTGGATATAGATATATTTTTAATAAATTTACCTTGCTAATAAACGGATTGCGAATCGGATAGTTTAAATAATTGTAGACTTCTCCTCCCTCTTAGGAAGCTCCAACCCCACAAAACATTAACATTTCTCAATGATTTTGGGTATATGAAGACACCATCGTCGTTATCATTGTTCGTTTTCCAGAATTCTTAAAACCGGAGCAGATATAACATTAGCTGAGAGAGCAGGACGTGACCCCTGAAGAAAATATTTTGATGGAGTCTGAGAAAGACACGAGTGGTGAGAGTTGACGCACCACGACCTGCGTGTGCACGGCGTCGTGTTGACTATCCTCGCGGGGACTGGTGAGGATCAGTCAAGGGACCCAGCCGAGGCCTGATGGTTACTTGAAGGTGGGATGACACGTGTAGTGGTGGTTGTGGTAAGGCCGTGATCTGGTGCGCTGGGATGGGCGTGGCGTAGTGGGCGGGGAGGGGCGTGGCGTAGTGGGCGGGGAGGGGCGTGACGTAGTGTACGGGGCCAGGGGTGACACGGTGGGGGTGGAGGGGCGGGAGGCGGTGCACGGCCTTGAGGTCCGGCTCGAAGGAGTTCCGGTGGAGTGGGACCCCCGGGTGGCCGATGGCGGCATTGACAGGGTAGAAGAAGGGGGCGTCCTCGCAGCCGAAGTTGTACCACCAGTCACACACGAAATACTTCTGGTTGAAGATGGTGCCGTTGGGGCAGAGGAAAGAGTCCTGACGGCCGCTGCGGTGACAGATGTGGAACACCTGTGGGAGGAAACAGAGAAAGAGAACCTAGATGCTGGTGTGAACGACAACAAAAAACACAATAAAATAAATAAAAGACGATTTCGCAAAAATCTACGAGCTCCTCTCGCTGCCATTACTAACTGGAAGCGCGGGTGATGTACGGTGGGAACACTGACCCTTCACCCAGACCCTCCTCCTTCCTGTAACCCACCTGGCAGCCGGCCTCCATGTCGGCGTAATATCCGGGAAAGTCGGCGACGAGGTCACAGCCGAAGGAGGTGAGAGGAATGTAGCTGAGGATCGGGTAGTCTCGCCCGGCCCGACCTGCCCGCGGGAGAGGGAAGGACACAGGTGTTAAACTGTCGTCTCCAGCACTATGCTCACACGCTTCTTACACATCAACATTATTTTAGTTACAGTCAATATTTTAGTACACAAACCAACAAAATAATTTGTTCTATCACACTATAGCAACATCCATAATGCTAAAATGTTTTATATAATTTTAAGTTAAATTTTAAATGCTTAAGACTGATTGATTAAAAGAGCAAATGTTCCCCAATTTTTATAGTATTTACTGTTTGTGTCTTCAGAATCGAGCTATTAGCTCTTGGACTCTTGGATTAGAAATTAGCATTTCAAACAAATCTTATTTTTCTATATTACGTCTACTACATATATCTTTCTCTAACACATACACACACACACACAGGTACATATTTTTCTGCTAGGTGAACAGGAGAATCAGGTGAAAGAAACTGCTCATTTGATTATGCCTCGGCCGGGAATCGAATCGGTGATCCCTTAGGATCACCGACCCCCATGTATACTCACCTAGTAATGCTTCTGGGAGTTGAGCTTTGGCTCTTTGGTCCTGCCTCTCAACTGTCAATCAACTATTGTACAGGTTCCTGAGCCTACTGGGCTCTTATCATATCTACACTTAATTGTGTGTGTGTGTGTGTGTGTGTGTGTGTGTGTGTGTGTGTGTGTGTGTGTGTGTGTGTGTGTGTGTGTGTGTGTGTGTGTGTGTGTGTGTGCGCGTCCTCCACACCTTGCGTGGCCGCCAACACCCGCCACTCACCAGGTATGCCGGCAATATATCCGAAGTCAAGGATCTCATTATCATCGATGTTGTAGTCGAGCTGAGGGAGGAGGTGTGGGCGGCGCAGGGGCGTGCGGTACGGGGCGTAGTCATAGTCCTCGTAATAGTAGTCGTCTTCGTCGTCGTCATCATAGTAATAATCATCGTCGTCGTCGTAATAGTCGTCGTCGTCGTCGTAATAATCATCATCGTCGTAATGGTCGTCGTCTTCGTCGCTGTATTCATCGTCGTCGTATTCGCTGTCGTCGTATTCATCGTCGTCGTCGTATTCATCGTCGTCGTCGTATTCATCGTCGTCATCGTATTCATCGTCGTCATCATAGTAGTCCTGGAGATAGTGTGGCGCCGGCGGGCTGGTCGCATGCTGCAGGGACGGTCTAATACTGACGGGGAGGTCGTTGTAACCGGGACTGTAAGCCATCGGGGTGTAGACAGGAGGGGCGTAGGTCGTCTCCTCCAGGCCCGGGGGATGAGAGGGACGTTGTCGACCGCTCCCCGGGTGGCTGAAGTCCTGTAGCTTCTGGCGTTCAGGGTCAAGATGCGGTTTATAGGTGGTGGCGTAGTATGGGACAGCTGCGGTGATTGAACCATTTGGAGGAACGTATTCTGGCTTGGGAGGTGCTGGGGGAACGTAATCAGGCTTAGGGGAGACTGGGGGACTGAAATCTCTCTTTGGAGAGGTTGGCGGTATATAATCTGTCTTAGAAGAAACTGAGGGTTTGTGTTCCGACTCTGGGCGTGGCGGAACATATGTCTGAGGTTCTGTATTTGCCGTCGTAGGGCCCCTATAATCAGCAGGGGCACGATAGTCTTGATGGGGAGGGAGGTAGTCGGACGATGGCTTTTTGACTGGCGGCAGGAAGGTCGGGTCAATGGGCTCGTGCAGCGGTGGTGGGGGCGGATGATTGTACGATGCTTTGGCTGAGGATATCAGGGAATTTCTCACTGGAGGCTTCGGGGGAATGTAAGCCTCGCCTTTGAGTTCGATGGTGGGAAGGTATTCTCTGTCTGGTGTGACGGAGTCGGGATCCGGAGTCGACCCGGGATGCAACGGCTTGCCTTCGGGACGATAGCCCTCAGGTTCTGGTGCATTATATGAGAGCTGAGGACGCTGGTTTGTAACCTCAGGGGAATTATATTCAGGGTTTGGGTTAAAGTAGGTTGTTCCGGGGGGGTGGTATATAGCTTCGTAATCAGCAGAAGGTTTGGGGCTAGATAAATGCTCTTTTCCTGTAGAGTGGTCTGGGTGGTAGCCAGGAGGAGTGCGGCTGGAGGAGTAACCATTAATCTTTTCTTCTGGTGTTGCAGGGCTATGACCTTTTTGTAGGTCTGCCAGCCAGGTCGGGAGAGCGGTGGTGTGTTTCGGCGGAAGGTATTCCTTGTTAGGAGTTTGGTAACTCTGCAGAGGTGCCTCGTAGGTCGCTGAAAGTGGTGATGGAGTCCCAGCGTACTCGACAGAAGGAGTCTGGCGTGAAACTGTCGAATAAGCAGGACTCAGGGTCTGGTAGTTGCGATGAGGAGGGATGTACGTTCTCGGCGGCGTTGTGTAAGAAATTGTCGACATTGTGGTCATCGTGAGAGAGTCTGAATGGCTATGTGGACCGTTATTTTTGGGAGGTGGTCCATATATTCTTCCAGGTGGAGTCCTGTGCTGCTGTGAAGCTTTAGTGGGATGAGCAGGCGCAGCAGCGCCTTTATTTGGAGGAAGATAGTTTCTGCTGGGCTGAGTTGGACGCTTCCTTATCTTCTTCCTCCTTCCCTTGTTAGGGTGTTGAGTATGGGGACGCTGTGATGGGCGTCGTCTACTCCCTGGAGATCCACTCTCCTTATTGGGAGGGAGGTAATTCCTTGATGGTACAACATAGCCTCCTTCCGGAGCCTTGGGTGACATACCTGGCGATTGAGGTCTCTTAGGTGGAGCTATATATCCTTTGTTCGGTCGATTATTTTCTGGAGATTTCTCGTTGGTTTGACCGATACCTTTGAGTCCACCTTCAGGAGGTCCATATTTCCTAGTGGGTGGGAGGTGTTTACGGGGGGGCTCAGTGCGAGTTGCACTTGGTGGTTTATGGTCAGGTTTAGGCGCCACATGTCCTTCATTGGCTGGCAAGTACTGCTGGGGGGGCTCAGCCTCAGGCTTAGCTGGGTGTTCATGTACACTTTCAGGAGCTCCATATTCCATGCGCGGGGGCAGGTGCTTCTGGGATTGTTTCGTGTCCATCTCGACCTTGTGTGGAGACTCAGGAGCTGCATATCCTTTGTTAGGAGGGAGGTTCTTCTGATGAGGGTCTGCATATTCCTTAATTGGAGGCTTGTATTCTGGATTTGGTTTCTGATGGGGAACTGCTGGGTGAAGATGCTCTTTATCAGTTGGTAGGTACTGGTCGGAGGGCTTCCTGTAGTCTGCTGCTTCTGCCGGTGTGGAATGACGAGGAATATCCTCACGGTTGGGAGGCAGGTATTCCTGCGAAGCCTTGTTGTAGCCTGTTGGAGGTACACTGCTGCTGGTCTGATGGTGAGGGGTTGGTGCTATGACAGGTGTTGAGCGTGTTGAGGGAGGTCTGGCGCCAGGATAAGGCTCAGTGCTGTGAGGCCTCTGAGTCGGCCTGGAGTCACCGCTTGAACCACCATGAGAAGTGCCTTCATCTCTGTTGTACTTGAAGGAGACAGGTCGACGGTACTGCAGATGTGCCTGGATGCTGAGGCGCTCGGGTGCAGGCGTGAAGTAGTGAGGTTCGTTAGAGGTCCTCCGGCGTACAAGACCACTAGTGCGACGCCGCTGGCTACCCGGCGGACGCTGGGGAGGTTGGAACACCAGACTAGACTTGTCGGCTTTGTGGTTTCTATTCAGTGGGATGTAAGGTTTGGCCTCAGCATCATCTTTACCGCCGGAGTGGCCTGGGGTTGCCAGAGCTTCCAGAGGGACGTACTCTGGGGACTTGGAAAAGGCATGCTGCTGGGACTTCCTGCTGGCAGCAAAACTATAAGAGTCCTTGGAGTAGCCGGCGGCGGGTCTGTGACGAGACGAATGACGGCGGTTCTTGGGCCCCAAACCAGTGTTAAAGCGGCCACTGCTAGACTTCCTGTGGAGAGGATATTAGCACTTCATTAACTATGCTCAAACTTTACAGGAAACTAAATAAGAACATAGGAATAAAGGACTATACGAGGCAGCTTCTATTAATATCTACCCAAACTCATTCATATGCGTGATTAACCTGTACTTGAAACAATCAAACAAATCCACTCCCACCACCTCATAAATCTACAACTAATGAGAACATGGAGTGCTGCTGCCCTCACGAGGATCCCGAAGTTTCTCCGAAGCCTAACCGGGTTTTCACGCAATTCCTCCATGCACTCGGGCTCTGTAAACCGTGCGTAGGCTCGAACCCTCGTCAAGACCTTGTGGATTTGTTTATTGATATATCACGTTATTGTGATTTTTGTGTGTAATAACAGCTAATATGAGAAATTATATACGAAGCTTTCACAAAATGTAGTATATTAAAAAAAAACAGGATTTGATAAAGAAAAGTAATCTTTTGTTTAAAGCAGTTTTGGTGTTTTATAAAAGAGGAGCTAGAGCATGACGAGAAGAGAGACGTGAAGAGGCACATGAGTGAGTGGAAGGTATGAACAGGCAAGCAGAAAAAGGGTGAAGTGGAATAAGGTAAGTAAGAAAAGAAGACAATGAGAGTTGAAGTTATTATAGATGGGCTGTGAACTGTGTGAGGGGATATAATGAGGGCTGAGAATTTCTGATGAGGAAGAGAATAGAAAGTGACGAAGAAACGGTATGAGGAGAGTATAAGGGTGTGAGGAGAGTGTAAGTTTCAAGGAAGAGGAAGAAAGAAACAGGGATTAAGCTACGAAGGAGGAAGAAGACGGGAAACATAAATTTAAGTTACGAAGAAGGAAGAAGGCTGCAAGACGCCGCAGTACAGGAGAGACAAGCGCTTGACAAGGAGAACAACAACAAGAAAAGAGACATCGTCTATACTTGGACGTGTGGATGGACGGCTTCTTCTTGAGTCGGTACCGGATCCTAGAGGGCAGAGGAGCGCTGACGGAGGTCTCAAGATCCTGAAGCAGCTGCTGCCGGAGTCTCCGGGTTTCGTTGGCCGACATACACTTCGCCGACTGCTGCTGCGAGAGGAATGTGATAAAAAAAAAAGTCACAGACAAAAAGAAAAGTTTCAAGACTCGAAATTTGCTGCTGTGTCACGGCCAAGATGTGTTTATAAACATAATGAAACACAAATCAATCAAGAAAAATCTAAGTCTCTGAACTGTTAAGGATACTATAATGTTTAAGTGTTTTTAAGTATACACAAACTAACTTGTTCGTATTTGTTGTTAAGATCGCACCAGACTGGTCATGGAATGTATGGCACAAATTAAGTCTTGTCTATAATTTTACCTCTAAATGAGATTCATAATAATTTGCATCAAATCTTACTTTCAGGCATAAGAGGGTTCTTATGTCTGCATAATACTAGTTGACAGAAACACTGGTAGACACAGACACACAGTAATAGACAGACATACATTGAGAGACACAGACACACAGTGGCAGACACAGACATAAACGCAGACAGTCATAATACTTATCTACCATTACGCTAAAAAATGTACTTTCTCATATCTCTATGGCTCATCTGTCTCTAGATTCCATCAATGTATTATTGTTATATGTCTTCATTTTAAATAATTTCTCCTTTTCCAATTTCTTTAGATATTCTCTCTTTGTCATGTCTCGCCTTTTTATAAAATTGTGTGGTCCAGTTCCTTGAGACATTTTATATCTTGTGTAGTTCTTGGACGATTCTCGTGGCAAATTTCTACATTTTATGAATCTTCCTTTATGTGGGTTTTAAGAGGTTGGATCCCACATCAGAGCTGCATACTCTACGACTGGTCTGACGTTGGTAGTGTACAGTATTATGAAGGTCTGCTTACTGAGATTTACGAAGGCTGTTCTGATCATAATCAGTTTAGAGCCTGACGCTGACAGTGTTCAGTTTATCTGCTTGTTTTGTTTGTCAGTTCAGGAAAAATGGTTAGTCTTCGTTGTCTGCTGGGTTGATGATCTTGTAACCTTCTTGATCTTGAATGAATGAGAGCTGGGATGATCTCGGACGCAGGTTCGAATCCTCGTCACGGCCCTTGTGGATTTGTTCATTGATGATCATGTGTTCGGTGTTGCAATGTTGGTGTGAACACGAGGGTCAGGTGTTTTGGGTGTGGACGCGCACTCTGGGCTGATGAGAGGTGCGAGTGACGCAGAGGAGTGCAAGGTTATACTCACGTGGTGGGTGCAGGAGCCTCCATCAGACCACTCCAGGAACACGTCGGGCGCCGCCACCCTCGTCTCCACCACCTATACCAACAACACCAGCTGCAGTCCTCCACAAACCTCTCTCATATTATTCACAAAATATAGGGAAAACAAGTTGACTTTGAATTGTATATAATGAAGGTGAATGAAGAGTCGTGCCACAATAAGGTAGCCATGTAGACAGAAAGTTTAATGGTGTTTTGCTAAATGCCGTTCAAGAATGGATGGCTTTGGCGCAACAAGCCGCAATATATATATGTATATCAAAAGAAGTTCCGTTCGTGCCTGGGTTTGTGAGTCTCGTGTTTACCTTTGACGCTGCTTCGGTCTGGCTGCTGGCGGCAGAGTTGTCGACTGTTGCTGCTTCTTCAGCAGCCGCGTCTCCGCCTCCATTGAGGTTCTCCGAGTGTCCGCCACCGCCAAAGATCTTATTGGTGAGTTGGTGGAGGAGGTTGTTGTTCTTGAGGCGCCAGGTGAGCTGGTCTTGGGCACCGGTGGTGTTGGGGGGCGTCGCCGCCTCCTCGCCCGCCAATAGCATGCGGGAGGTGGCTGCAGGAGGGGCGGAGTCTTCCGGTGACGCCCACAAGCTGCCAGCATCACCTCTCTCCTCTGATGCAGCTTCACCGGTGCCCGCTCGCCCAGCGTCATCTCCTGGAGATGGGTCTTCAGCCTCATCATCATCCTGATGGTTCTCACCGCGAGTCTGGGCATCTGGATGGTGAGAGTGTGGTGAGTGGGGTGCCCACCTCTCCTCGCTGAGGCCCACACCATCATCCTCGCCCACCACACCAGGAACGGCCTCTTCCCATACACCTGAGGACAATAGCGGTCTTAACATTTATATTACAATACAAATTAGATCTATTTAAAGCTGGGATTTCCTTACGCCCATCCCAAATGCACTATTTTTTTTAAACTATCATGGCTTTGAAAATATTTGTGTTCCTTGACTACACAATAAAGTCGCCCCTCGGAGCAAATTAGAACAGATTATTCCTCTGATAATTAGTATAAAATGAATAAAACTAATTTGTTGAGCAAATTCAAAAGGCTTGCATGAACTTGCCAAGGAGAATGAAAATATGGACATTGGACCTGTACGTGATGTGTGTGTGTGTGGTGGGGGGGGGGGGGGGGTGTCTGATGTAGCGCTGACTGACGGGTGTGCATGTGTGTGACTGAGTTTAAGTGTAGTTACGGGATGAAAGCTATGCTCGTGGTGTCCCGTCTTCCCGGTACTCTTTGTCGTATGATGCTTTGAAAATAAAAGTGTGTGTGTGTGTGTGTGTGTGTGTGTGTGTGTGTGTGTGTGTGTGTGTGTGTGTGTGTGTGTGTGTGTGTGTGTGTGTGTGTGTGTGTGTGTGTGTGAGGGGTGCCACAGAGTGCCAGCTCACCCAGCACCAGCAGCACCAGCAGCAGTAGACACTGGATGTCGGCCATCACGTTCTCGCCTGCTGCTTCCCGCCTGAAAAACATGGCAACTGTCATTATGGGTTTCATCGCCTGCTGGAGGAGGTGGGGTCCACCTGCTGGAGGAGGTGGGGTCCACCTGCTGGAGGAGGTGGGGTCCACCTGTTGGAGGAGGTGGGGTCCACCTGCTGGAGGAGGTGGGGTCCACCTGTTGGAGGAGGTGGGGTCCACCTGCTGGAGGAGGTGGGGTCCACCTGCTGGAGGAGGTGGGGTCCACCTGCTGGAGGAGGTGGGGTCCACCTGCTGGAGGAGGTGGGGTCCACCTGCTGGAGGAGGTGGGGTCCACCTGCTGGAGGAGGTGGGGTCCACCTGCTAGAGGAGGTGGGGTCCACCTGCTGGAGGAGGTGGGGTCCACCTGCTGGAGGAGGTGGGGTCCACCTGCTGGAGATGCATACAAAAAGAGTGCAGCTGATTCGCTTCGGGTCAACATCTGTTACCTCAAGTATACCAACTCGTGGTGACGTCAAGTTGTACGAACTGAAAATGTGTTTATTATAGTATTACGAAGAACGGGCATTTGTTGCAACAATGTCACTAGGTTGTGTATATACATGTTATAAATATTCATTTCATAAATTTATATATCTCACAGGAGATATATCCGGGTTCCTGCTTTCTGAATCTCAGGACTAGACATGAAGGTGACGCTTGGGTGAGTTCCCTTTGACTCACCTGAATGCGTCACTGAGCCATCAACTCCAGGCAGAAGACACCTGCAATGACAGAATGATTGATTAGCTTACCTGGCCAAGAATTAGTATATTTTGGAAGCAGGTGTTAACACATGTCATTAAACACAACAACATTGTGACTATTATTAATTTTCTTTTGGATATTTTCCATTCGACGCAAAATATCTTCTACCATCTGGAGGATGAAGAAACACTAGATCACTTAATGTTTACAATTGTATTGTTCGACGTCTCGTTAGCAAAGTGACGGAGGGAGACGGAGAAGGAGGGTCGTAGAGGAGCCCAGGAGGGCGAGAGGGGACTTACAGTTAATGACCATAGACATAGAGGTTTGAGTTGTTTGTTGTTGTTAAAGATTTAGCTACTCAGGACGAAGTGTCCATGTAGCACGGGCTATGGTGAGCCCGTAATTGAGTTTGGTTATACATGATAACCTTTTTCCTGTGACTAGAGGTTTGAGGTCGACTACCACACAAGTACGCCGGCTCCCGAGGGCAGCCACACTCACCCCGACGGGAAGGTGTGGCGGGCCACACCTGGGGCCACACGTTAATGACAGCTGGCAAAACCAAACTACGCATATGTGAGTGACTCTTCCGTCCGACTTGGCAACGGTTGTGGTGGTACAGTGGTGGGGTACAGTGGCGCCAAAGTGAAATAGTGGCCTTTGGAGAAATCTGGGAATAATATAATGACCGCCGCTATAGTGGAAGGGTTGAATGACCACCTTGGTGTTGGTAACGATGGGGGAAGGCGGTGTTGGTGTTGGTAATACTGATGATATTATTTCAGTAATGGTCAGAATAAACTGAACGTGTGTGTGTACTTACCTATCTGTGCTTACTTATTAATACAGTTTAATTATTCTGCGGTTCGAATGCTTTGTCGAATCTGACCTTAAAGTTGTGGATGGAGGTGACTTCCCTGAGTATCTTGTATATTACGATCATATCTCCTCTGTTTTTTCTGCCCTCCAGGGTAGGAAAGTCCAATTCCCTGAACCTATCTATCCTCATAGCTTAAACCCCTTAGTTCTGGTACCAATCTTGTTGCAAATTTCTGCACTTTTTCTAGTTTAGTTTTGTGGTTCACAAGGTACGGATTCTAGGTTTATTGGTTCAACAAAAGCGGTGTAGGTTACCTTGAAAGAATCATCATTTAGATTTATAAACGACGTTCTAATGTTAGTCAGCGTTCCTTATGCCGCTGATGTTACCCAGTCTATGTGTGCCTCTGGTGTTGGATTCTCTCAGAACTCTCCGTTTCCTATAGTTGCCTTACCCTTATGTTCAAGTAATCACTTGTGATAAGTATGAGTGATAAGATAATTGTGATAAGAAGAAGAGGGAGAGCGAGAGGGAGAGTAAAAGCAATGAGAGTGAGAGGGAGGGAGGGAATTATGAGGGGAAAGCGAGAGAGGGGTGAGAGTTGATAGGAATTGTAGAGAGCATAACTATTACAGCGCCATCTGTCGCGTCCTAGTGGCCTCCTTCACCACCACACCACCAAACACAAAACTCTACCACATTAATAAATTACCACACTATTTTTACTTTATTACAGCAAAGCACTTTTACCACACTACTGAACACCCGCTAATAAGTTACCTCGCTTCTATACCAGGAGTTTACTGGGCGTAACACTGTACAGCACTGATGATGCCGCCGCAGGCACCAGTGACCACGGTATCAACCTGGGGCCAGATTCACGAAGCAGTTACGCAAGCATTTACGAACTTGTACATCTTTTCTCAATCTTTTACGGCTTTGTTTACAATTATTAAACAGTTAATGAGCTCCGAAGCACCAGGAGGCTGTTTAGAACAATACCAACAGTTGATTGGGAAGTTTTCGTGCTTGTGAACTGTTTAATAAATTTAACTAAAGCCGTCAAAGATTGAGGAAAGATGTACACGTTTGAAAATACTTGCGTAACTGCTTCGTTAATCTGGCCCTGTCCTCTTATAAAGAACATCGCTTTTCGCACGCATGCTGTTACATAAGACCAAAAATGGTCGTACTACAAAAGTGGAAGCGGCTGGGGAAAGTGACGTACTGTCCCGTTTTCTGTTTTGGGTCCTCTGGTAGGTTAGGATAAGGGCATTATAGTACGACAGTTTCTTGACGTTGGGGAACCTTAGGAGGACGGACTGCTAAAACACCGCTGGCAACACTGGTACTCAGCATTACCACAATAACAGCTTAAGTTCTTGTAAATGCCTGATAGATGTTTTCAGGCCTTGCTGGGAGTCTGTCTATCGTGTTACTCGACACCTGTAACGTTACTGCGAGCCAGCGCATACCTATTTATTTTCTAAATCTAAACTTACCCATTTAGAATCCATAGAATCCACCAAAGACAGGTGACTGCTATCTTACCAATGACAGGTGACTGCTATCTTATAAAAGACAGGTGACTGTTATCTTATAAAAGATAGATGACTGCTATCTACAAGGATTTATTGACGAACACTAGAATACATTTGTCACTCGTCAGCATGTCACGAAAATACAGTTGTATTATCTCCCTAACTCCTACTGAATATATATAAATATCTGCTGTATTTTGTCAACGCTTCCAGAACTACGACCCGTGCTACTATATCTGGCCCGGGGAGGATTGACCGGGCACCAGTCCTTAACCGTAGCCTCTGTTCGCCCAGCAGTGAATGGGTACCTGGTTCTTAAACCATTTAGCGGGTAGTATTCCGGGGAAAATTAGGATCAAGGGGCCTGCCCGAAACGCTACGCGCGCTGCTCCTTCCCTCACAATCTTCCATCTCCCCATAACCTCCTCTCTCATAACTCCATAAACCCCATTACTACCCATAACCCATAATAAACTTCCTCCCCTTCCCCTCAAAAGTATCCAGAAGCATTAACCGAACCAGAGGGTAACTGGAGCGGATTTTCCAGAGCTGCTGGTCTGCTGGCAAGAGAGAAAGGTCTGCGTGGTGATAGATGACTCAGCTGCAACAGCAGACCTGATGACGCAATACTGCTACAGATGGCAACAAAAAAGTGAAACTGTGTGTGTGTGTGTGTGTGTGTGTGTGTGTGTGTGTGTGTGTGTGTGTGTGTGTGTGTGTGTGTGTGTGTGTGTGTGTGTGTGTGTGTGTGTGTTTTAAAGTGTATGTCATCAAAATGAAATCTCGTTCCAATTCTAATCATTACTTTCTTACATTATTTATCGGGGGTCTATGGAGGCTCGGGATTGGTCTTATTCTAAGAACTGTCTGTGATTGGTCGAAGGGGTTTTCATGTACAGGGTTAAAATGCGCATCTAATTAGTCAGAGTAGACATCGTCGACCAATCAGCTACTTCGAATTAGCTGAACAAATAGCTTTGACCGAGAAAGCCGTTGTGATTGGTGCTTCTTATTGGCCAATATAAGACCAGTAAGTGCTTCTTATTGGCTACTTCACTTCTCGCATTGACCAATCACACATCAGGATAGCCCAGATGAGCCACTTTGAATCCAAATTATTGACAATTAGAAACAAACTTAAAAAAGAGTTATCAGCCACAAATGAATCAGTAAATATGTTGGTATAATTTCCCGGTAAAACAATACACGTAGGATAATTGAATTGTTTCAAGCGTAGGTTAGACACATGTACTAGAGTTTTGGGTGGGTGTAAATTATTTAGG